TCGGCAAAAATCTCTGAGACTAAATCTAAAGTCATACTACTAGTATCTATGCGGGCTAGAATACAGTAGATATACATAATATCATAATAAGTATCTTTACAACTTAATAACTCTTCGTGTATATAACATACTCAATATCAGAAGAACAAGATCAAATAAATTTAGTTAGTCAAATAAACATAGAAAATGATATATATTCATTTAGTCCTTTCGGGGTAACAGTGTCTAAACGGTGTATCCAGTAGGTTTCGCGTTGTAATAACAATTTCGATCTATCCCCTCCTCTAGGGCTAAGTGGGACGTGGTCGATCGCTATAAATCTAAGTGTGGGAAGTCTATGATTTGCTTGAAGAAAATGTTTAGCTACTGGCTTATCAGATTTTTGGTCTCTGAATGCGGTGGTGATGGTTGATCTATGGCCACGGATGCGTTCCCGGAGAGTCAAATCAGTTTTTCCCACGTATGAAAGACCGCAAGGGCACGTAATTAAATATATCACGTGATCAGTCATGCAAGTGATATACTGAATAATAGGGATCCGAACTCCACTGTGTGGATGAACAAATGATGTGCCTATGTTCATATGACTACAGGTTACACATCCACTACACCTATAGCAGCCTTTCTTAGTGGGTCCTGTGGTTTTCCGATAGCATAAAGTGGGATCACTTCTCACGAGTAAATCTCGGAGGTTCCTATTGCGTTTCAGACTGATAGTGGGTTGTTGACTGAATATAGAAGGTAAATTTTTGTCAGAACCTAATATACCCCAGTATTTATTAATAGTCCGTTGAATTTGTGAGGTGCCAGTATGAAAGGTTAAGGGTAAATACATTTTAGCCATTGGTGGTGTATTACGTACAGCCTCTAAAGGGCTAGCCATCTGTTTCAAAGCTTTAGCCTTAGCATTCTCCAAAACCTCGGGACTGTATCCTCTCATAAGGAATCTATCCGACATTTCTTGTAATTGGTTGGCTTGATTAACGGGATCACTATTATATCTCAGTACCCGCATGTACTGAGATACAGGGAGCGATTCCTTTAGTTTTTTCGGATGATAACTATTAAACTGAAGTAATGTATTTCTTGCGGTGTCTTTGCGATATAGGGTGTATCCCAACGTACCCTTTATTCCATCTTTGTAAATAGACACGTCTAAAAATTGAATTGACTGAAAATCAACCTGAGGGGTCGAAACGTCGATTTGATGTCTTACACTTTGATGTAATTTTTTTTACAATAAACATCGATAAAGAAGTCCTGTTGAGTGCTCCTATTTATCTATGGGTATAATTTTTCTGACGCTGGAAGCACCAAAGGCAACAATCATATGAGTCTTCTGAAGGGTGAGTGCCTAAATCCGATTTTTTTTTGTATATATATGGTGTGCGTCGCACCATTTTGGGCACCCCCAGAATTTACATTTATTCACTAAATCGTGCGTTCAGGCACAACTTCAAGCTTGTCATTATGGAAGATTTTTTCATGAAAGCAGGAGTCTTTGCTGACTCAGCAGAAACCTTATCTATATCTGAAGATCAGGCTCAAGCTATTTTATGGTCTAAATCAGCTAAAGATCTTTCGCATTCTAGCACCATTAAAGATCTTTACAATGATCTTATAAAACTCAGAAGAAGGGAAGTAGATCTAGATCTACACGGCATTTTCATCTCGGATTATCACAGAGCGAAGCGGATCCCTCGTGGATTCAGAGTTAGAAACTCTCCAACTATTGGGAGGCAAAATCCTGACTTCTGTCGCAAATGGATGAACATTGCCAATAAATGTTCCCTCGACTGGATGGTCATAGTCGTGGAGGAAGTTGGAAAAGAACTCATTGGAGTGAAGCAGACTATCTAAGAGATAGAGAACATCAATGTGGATTTACTACACTCGTCTGCAGCCACGGAACACATGTTAAAATTACAAGATGACATTAATAAATACAAGAACGAACTTATCAGATTCAAAAAACAAAAATTGGACAAAGTTAATTATGACTACAACAGCCACCAAGTATATAGGTGGTTGAGTGGCAATCAAACTCCTAACAGAGAATCTTTTCCAAGATATAAATATCGCATTAAAAAACCGGTGGTTGTGGTGTCTGCTGCAGTGCTTGGAGTCCTCAGGAAGCGCTAGGAGCATCCTTCAACGGAGGTACCAAGTCGGGGTGCCAGGCGATCCGTTACAGCCCTTTTTTAGAAGTAAACAGTCGACCATATGAGTCCCCAGGTACGTCAAACACGCAGACCAGAGGAGGAAAAAGAACTCAGTCACCAGGAGAGGAAAGAAGGGACACCAGAAACAGAGGAGCAAAAGGAAAACCCCCGTTGGGGAAGAGATGAAGTTAATATTCAATTTATCTCAGAAGATCTTAACAGAACATCATTCATCCGTGCTCTCTAAAGGGTTAACATTTGTACCTGTTTCCAGACCAGCTCCACTTCAAGTGGATATTGAATTATACAAAATACAACGGACTTTGACGAACTATGAACGATGGAAAGATAATCCTACTACAGCAGATACTTCCACTCAAATTACAAAAAATCCCTTTAAGATTAAATATAAAGGAGATCAGAAAACCTCCAACATTTCCATTAAAACTTTTATGCAATCAGTGAAAAACGAATCAGAGATGATATTAAAAAATCCTACCGATCATCGACAGAATCTTTCTAAAGCTGAGAAGATTGCCTTAAAAGACCTGATGACTGACCCTAACATTATCATTCGACCCGCCGACAAAGGTGGAGTGATTGTGGTGATGGCTTATGATAAATACAAAGAAGAAATTTGTAACCAACTTTCTGATAAAACCACTTATCAGAAATTAACCTTTGACCCGGTTAAGAAATTTCAAAATAAAATTCAAACTACGATTACTACTGGAATTCAAATGGGTTTTATTGACACAAATACAGCTAAATATTTATTTGTCGAATATCCGAAACATCCAGTTTTGTACACACTACCAAAAATCCACAAAGATCCGTTGAATCCCCCTGGCAGACCGATTGTCTCGGCCCGAGACAGTTTATTGGAGCCTCTTGGCAAATATATTGATTATTATATTAAAACTTCTGTTATGGATCTTCCAACGTGTTTGTGTGACACCAGTGATTTTTTGGCAAATATCAAAAAGTTAACTGTAGTGGAAAGTCAACATCTTTTGGTTACTTTAGATGTCAAAAACCTATACACCATCATACCCCACACTGAGGGTATACAAGCATTGCGACAGATTCTTTGCAATTCATCTAGATACAACGGTCCACCTATAGAATTTCTTATGGAACTTTTACAAATAGCATTGACATGTAATTATTTCAAGTTTGAAGATCTTTTCTATCTACAACTGATAGGCACATCAATGGGTGCAGCGATGGCACCTTCATATGCCAATGCATACATGTTCCTTTTTGAAACTAAACATATTCTTGAAAAATATTGTGATCAAATCCTCACTTATCATCGTTTTGTGGACGACATCTTTCTAATTTGGACAGGAACACCGTACACTTTAGAACAAATGAGTAAAGAGATCAATTCCTCGGAGCTTCCTGTGAAACTCACACTCACTTTTGATTTTCAGTCAATTCAATTTTTAGACGTGTCTATTTACAAAGATGGAAGAAAGGGTACGTTGGGATACACCCTATATCGCAAAGACACCGCAAGAAATACATTACTTCAGTTTAATAGTTATCATCCGAAAAAACTAAAGGAATCGCTCCCTGTATCTCAGTACATGCGGGTACTGAGATATAATAGTGATCCCGTTAATCAAGCCAACCAATTACAAGAAATGTCGGATAGATTCCTTATGAGAGGATACAGTCCCGAGGTTTTGGAGAATGCTAAGGCTAAAGCTTTGAAACAGATGGCTAGCCCTTTAGAGGCTGTACGTAATACACCACCAATGGCTAAAATGTATTTACCCTTAACCTTTCATACTGGCACCTCACAAATTCAACGGACTATTAATAAATACTGGGGTATATTAGGTTCTGACAAAAATTTACCTTCTATATTCAGTCAACAACCCACTATCAGTCTGAAACGCAATAGGAACCTCCGAGATTTACTCGTGAGAAGTGATCCCACTTTATGCTATCGGAAAACCACAGGACCCACTAAGAAAGGCTGCTATAGGTGTAGTGGATGTGTAACCTGTAGTCATATGAACATAGGCACATCATTTGTTCATCCACACAGTGGAGTTCGGATCCCTATTATTCAGTATATCACTTGCATGACTGATCACGTGATATATTTAATTACGTGCCCTTGCGGTCTTTCATACGTGGGAAAAACTGATTTGACTCTCCGGGAACGCATCCGTGGCCATAGATCAACCATCACCACCGCATTCAGAGACCAAAAATCTGATAAGCCAGTAGCTAAACATTTTCTTCAAGCAAATCATAGACTTCCCACACTTAGATTTATAGCGATCGACCATGTCCCACTTAGCCCTAGAGGAGGGGATAGATCGAAATTGTTATTACAACGCGAAACCTACTGGATACACCGTTTAGACACTGTTACCCCCAAAGGACTAAATGAATATATATCATTTTCTATGTTTATTTGACTAACTAAATTTATTTGATCTTGTTCTTCTGATATTGAGTATGTTATATACACGAAGAGTTATTAAGTTGTAAAGATACTTATTATGATATTATGTATATCTACTGTATTCTAGCCCGCATAGATACTAGTAGTATGACTTTAGATTTAGTCTCAGAGATTTTTGCCGATCTGATTCTTTTTGAACATGCAATATTTACATTTCTTTATGCACTGCACTTTGTATTGCACTCTATTGCACTTTGTTAGGCATTATCTTAGAGACATATCAATCTTTCTATTTTCAGTACGAATTACAAGTAAATCTTCCTATTTAGTATTACTTTGTTTTTATTATTCACTTATTTGATCTCTAGAATGAGATCTCTTAACACTTTGGCTTATACATAGCCACATTAGTTGCAACTAAGCACGATAGATGTATCCATTGTAGTTTACATCTTATCACCTAGTAACCACGTTACACGTAATGACGCACGTTGAAGCTATCACGTGAGACGCCGAGACATTTCCGGGTTCGGCTAGCCGCACACACGAGATTGGTGAGTCACTTTTTCTCTACACATATTTAAACTGCATCCATTTCACTTTGTGTTTGATCTTGAAAAAGACCCTGAGGGGTCGAAACATCGATTTGATGTCTTACACTTTGATGTAATTTTTTTACAATAAACATCGATAAAGAAGTCCTGTTGAGTGCTCCTATTTATCTATGGGTATAATTTTTCTGACGCTGGAAGCACCAAAGGCAACAATCATATGAGTCTTCTGAAGGGTGAGTGCCTAAATCCGATTTTTTTTTTGTGTATATATATATATATATATATATATATATATATATATATATATATATATATATATATATATATATATATAAATAAATATATATACATATACACACACACATATATATATATATATATATATATATATATATATATATGCGCTTATTATAAAAAAATACAGAAAAATGCAAAAAAATTAAAAAATGTGTTTTTCTTTACAGTTTTTACAATAATAATGTGTGCACAATTAGTGCAAGTTAAGGAAAGTAATTAAAAATAAATTAATTTAGTTGTTCTGATTTACATAATATATAATGTGTCTGGGATTTTTCTTTTTTTTGGTAGTTACAGGTCACAAAGCACAAGGAGTAAACTAAACTTTTAATGTGGAGCAATTTTAGAATTTGGTATGTTTGTCTTGTAAGCTTAATAGCCATAAAATAAAACAAAATTGCCACACAAAAGTACATATTTATATAAAGTAGACATCACGGGCTATTTACCTAAGGTTGTTTTGACACTTTCTACGTAGACATTTCACCGCCAACCTCTGCTAAATATTGGAGTAAAATTGTGTGTTTTTTTGGTTTTTGGCACACAAACTTATAACAAAGAAATTCTCATGTATATTTTGTAAAGTTGGTGTGTGCTATTCCTGTACAAAGTTTTATTTTGTGTTCAGTTACATCTGCTGAGTAAAATGACACCCCCATTGTATGTCTTTGGCACTATTTCGTGAAGCTACAGTGCCATATAGGATACCTGTCCTTTTCAGTTTTCACAGTAGACTTTTGAGAGATGGATTTCATGAGCCTTAGCTTCCATTTGGGGTATTATAACAGTTTTACTGTTCAAAGAAAACCCACAAAGGCCTACCATTTGTAAAATTATACACTCCAGGGTAACATGCCCCCATTTCTTCACCAATATATGCCAAAGTATGTGGTAAAAAATAATTTTGTGCATTTTTTACATACGGATTGCATTTTTGTACATTTCATATGTGCCACTAGATTATTCTCAGCTAAGTCTTCTGAGTAAAAAGACACCCCCAGTGAATGTCTTTGGCACTATTTCGTGAAGCTACAGTGCCATATAGGAGACCAAGCCATATCAGTTTTTACCAAACTTTGAATTTTGACGCTGGGCCTATGTGCAATTTCCAAGCATCTTCGCAGGTTTTAAATTCAAACTACCCCACAAAGGCCTACCATTTCTTAAAGTAGACACCCCAGGGTATTTCAAAAGGCATATTTTGAACCTTAGCATGGGATCATTTTTCCACTAGCTTGTACCAGGTGTAGTGGTAATAAGCATTTTTTTCTGCCTTTTTGACACACAAAGGGAGTTTGCACAGTATATTTTGCAAACCTTATGTGTGCTACCACTGTATGATACTTCATATGTTCCTCAGCTATGTCGGCTGAGTACAGAAATACTCCCGTATGTACCTTTGCCAGATATATGTGGACATCGGAGGGGCACATTTGGGACACAGCCATTCCAGTTTATTTTAAACTTTAAATTTTTACGCTGTGCCCATGTCCCATTTTAGAGTATTTTACCAGGCTATATAATCCAAATACCCCATAAAGCCATACCATTTCTTAAAGAAGACATCTCAGGGTATTTCAAAATGCATATTTTGAACCTTAGCGTGGGATCATTTTTCCGCTAGCTTGTACCAAGTGTAGTGGTAATAAGCGTTTTTTCTTCCTTTTTGACACACAAAGTGAGTTTGCACAGTATATTTTGCAAACCTTATGTGTGCTACGACTGTATAATACTTCATATGTTGCTCAGCTATGTCAGCTGAGTACAGCAATACTCCCGTATGTACCTTTGCCAGGTATATGTGGATGTTGAAGGGGTGCATTTGAGACGCAGCCAAATCAGTTTTTTTCTAACTTTGAAGTTTTACGCTGTGTCCATGTTCCAATTTGGAGTAGTTTAGACGGTTGGTTATTGAAACACAAACACATACTATTTATTAAAGAATACACCATGGGGTAATTCAAAAGCCATAATTTGAACCTTAGTGTGGGATCATTTTTTCTCTAGTTTGTTCCAGGTGTAGTGGTAATGAGCATTTTTAAATGTATTTTTTTTACTTTTTGAAACTTTTTTTACTTTTAAAAACTAGTTTTTAAACTTTTGTTTTGCTTATTAATTTTTTTTAAAAAAACTTTTCTAAACTTTCTTAAAACTTTTTTACAGATAAAATTGAACTAATGTGCTTATTGGTATGATCTACTACAATTACGTTTCATATCTCACAGTGTGCATTTGATTTTTCCTTATAGATCTATTTAACCTGTAAATACATCTATAAGAAAAAAAAATGAAATGCACACTGCGGGATACGAAAACTTTTACTAAAGCATATAAAATGCAACTAAAGATCAACAGTGGAAATG